GATATTTCCTTGAAAAAAAAAAGAATATTAACAATTTAATATTCTAGTAATATAATTAATAAAATGAAATAAAAATAATAAAATTAATACAAAATAATTGAAATAATAAAAAATCATTTGCAGTTAAAATGTAATTAATGGTGAGTTTTATATATAGTATATAGTATTTATTTGTTTACATTTTTTACAATGACACTTTTTTTTTTTTTTCAGTTTAGCTTTTCATGATACTTAACCTTTTTAGTCTGTAATATTCCTGAAATGTTCATAATTCAACTACATGCCTTTAATTATATTTTAGTGTTGTTCATTTCTTTTGGCATATTTTACATCCTTTATAAAGCTTGACGGCTCCTGATGACGTTCGGTGCCAATGCCATAGAGCAGCGTGAACATGCTTCATAACGTCTTTTCGTGTTGTGAGTAAACCATGACAGGATTTTCATTTCGGATGAACGATTCGCAGAAAAATGATTTTAAAGTCTTCAATTTTGCAGAATAATATCGCTCATAACATCGCTCTCGCCCCACATTCGCTTCAAACAAATGCCGAGAAACGTTTGCCGCGGCCTCGTTCGGAGGAGCTGATGGAGGGCCTGTCATATGAAGTGAGATCACGGAGGTCTGTTGGCGCACCAGTAGGGGAGCGTATTTTTTAATAAAAGGAAGAGTGTGTGTTCCTCGATTGTGTCTCCCGGTCTGACAGGCACATGCGCCACGCTGAGCCTGTACTCTGCCGTCTGTTGCGTGGGGTCCTTTCTGAATGAGAGCGAACAGACCCGCTCTATTTGCTGTCCATCTCCCGTCCGCTCTTTGTCATCACCATCCAGAGTTTATTTCCTAGAGGTATTTCTTTTGAAGCACTGAAAATTTAATTACAGAGCGATCCTTTGATTTGCGTAGCATCTGTGTCGTGGCATTCCAGAAAGGCTTGGCTCGAAAAATGAGGGAAGGAGATTCGCAACCTGCAAAATATGATTAATAAAATGCCTGTTTATCAGCGAATTTTAAATCGTAGCTTCCCAAGCTAGGTTTCTCTGAATATAAAGTCAAGCTAATCAAAAAAAGTTAACTACACAACAAATTGCTTACAAAAAGAAGCTCTTTTAATTATATAATTCTCAGATAAAAAGATATGAGTCTGTTGGAATTTATTTAGTGCTAACAGAATTTAGCTACAAAAAAGGCGCAAAATGTCGCTTACAATTAAATTAGGAATAAAATGAATAATTTTTAACCAATCCATTCAAATGAATCGTACAAATGAACTGGCTCACTAAAATGAATCACACTTCCAAGCACCGTTTGAATCAGAGATGTACTTATACCGTTTTGTTGTGTACTTGTTAGCTAGTTACACGAAAAGTTGTACTATTTTCAGAGGCGCTTTGCTATTGTCACGCTAGTGAAAAATGTTGCTAGGTTAGTAGCATGACTTCTTTTAGTAAGTTCAGCTAAGGCCTAGTTAAAATGAAAAATGTTGCAAAGATTGCTAACACGTTAACATTTAGCTACTCACTGGAAAATCTAAGCTTTAAGTAGATAGTCAATATTTACGCTACTGAGAAATGTTGCTAGGTTATTAGCATGACTTCTTGTCAACGCTGCTGTATACTTTCAGCTAAGACCTAGTTAAAAAGAAATACACTGCAGAAAAAGGATATTTAACACGTTCGGTTTTTGTTTTTTTTAAACGGATCAGCTACGATCACGCTAATGAGAAATGTTGCTAGGTTATTAGCATGGCTTCTTCTCAACACTGCCATTTACTTCCAGCTAAGAGCTGGTTAAAAGGAAAAACTTTGCAGAGAAGGGATCGCTAATTTGCTAAGGCATAGCTTCTGATTGGAAAATCTATGCTTTCTTAGATCAGCTACAATCACACTACTGATAAACGTAGCTAGGTTATTAGCATGACTTCCAGCTAGGACCTACTATAATTACAAATAAAAACATAGCAGAGAAAGAACGTGACAGAGAAGAGCATGACTAATTCTTAATATTACAATTCACTCACTTTTAGCAAAGACCTTTTTTAAAAAAAATAATAATAAAATGATGCAGAAAAGAATTGTTAACATGCTAATGTTTAGCTACTCACGGAAAAATCTATGCTTTCTTAAACAGATAATCTTATACGCTACTGAGAAATGTAGCTAGGTTATTAGCATGGCTGCTTCTCAACATTACCATTTACTCACTTCCAGCTAATTACAAAGAAAAACACTGCCGAGAAAGAACGCTAACATGCTAAGACTTAGCTACTCGCAGATATCAAGTTTTAAACAACAAACAAATCCTGAGAAATTAGTTTTGTAGATTGTGCGATTATCTAGAGTTATATTTGATGACAGTTAGCAAGTTAGGGGAACATTTATCGCGGCTACCTTGATATGCTAACTGTAAATAGCATTGAGGATTCCTGTACCTTTCTCTCAGAAACTGCCAAATGATGTCTAGAGATGTAAGCAGTGCATACTTTGGAAGAGGTTTTGGAGCTAGCGTGCTAGATTTGCGTGATTAGCGAGGTCAAGCAAAGTAAATGGAGTGTTTGTTTTGAAGGTTGTTTGTCAGGGCGATGGAGGAGACCCTGGGATGCTGGAGGTGGTGGGGTGGGCCGGCCTGTTTAGGTGGATACAGAAAGCATGCTAGTCCCACAGCAATTAGCTGCTTCTCCGCTAGAGCCGAGCTGTCAGGCTGATGGAGTCTCTCTGGCCTCGGCTGTCAAGACGTCCTGAAGGAGTCCAAACAAATGCTTCCATCCATGTGTTTGCTTTGTGTTTGACCTGCTCTCTGGCTCCTCTTAACTGGATTGTAGAGAAATTGAAGCGCGCTCCTCCGAGGCTTTACCGCTAACATCACCCGCACAACATTTAGCCGCTGTTCTTTTGTAGTATTTTGTAGAGACTTTTGTAGTGTTTTCATTTTCTTGAAGTCCACTTAAAAATCAGTCAGGTTCTAAAATGCGTACGTTTGACTAAATTGGGGTTTTTTTACGATTAGCTATAATAATTAGATTAGTTATAATACTATATATTATTACAGTGTACATTACAGTAAAGTTTGTTGTATTGCCTTTAATTCATTTTTAAAATTATAATTTTATTAGGGTTTTTTTAAAATATAAATAGAGTAAAAATGTTAAAATGTTTGATATTTAATTATTTATTAACATTATACAATCAGATTTCACATGCTCATGGTTGATGTAAAATATCATGACAATTTTTTAAATATATATATATATAATAAAAATGCTTGGTTGTTGTCCAGTAGTGTATTTAATTTCTTAGCATCAGCTAAATCCAGCCTGCCATATTAACTGGCCGAGAGGACAACTAAAGCACTTAATCTGCCATCCTGAATCGAGTGCACACGAGCGGATGGGTACCAGACTCCTGCCTGGAGCACAAGAGGGCGGAACGGGGCGTTACTCCATCCGGCAGCAGTCAATACTCACGCCAGGAGGACTGAAGGGTGACGCTGTGGGCCGGCCGGCCGGCCAGCATTATGTGTGAATGTTTGCAGCTGACCACCACAAACCACTGCGGATCTTTGAGCTGTAGGTGTACTGATCTTATGTGAGGACATGGTGTTGAACAGGAGCGTGATGAAGCGTGACGACTGCCAAGAGATGTCTGGATCTCCGCTTTAAGTATAAATGTGACTCCCTGTTCAGTCTAAAAAATGAGTAAAACATTATCTGGGAATGATTCAATGTGCAATTTAATATTATTAGGGTACATTTGTACAGTATATACAATTTGTATAAATCTTACAAGAGAATTTCTGTATTATAATTCACACCAAAATGAAAATAGAAAATAATAAATTCAATTTTACATGAAGAAAATGATGCCTGCTTTTAGCAGGAGCCTTTTTTTTTTTTTTATTGTGACGTGATTTTAATTAAAATTATTATTCATTTTGCCCTGAAATTCTACATTTTTAAAAAAATGTATTTAAAAATAAAATAAAAATAAAAACTAGGGATGGGTCACGATTTTTTGAATATTCGATTAGTTGATTTAATTATAGAATATCGACTAGGTTGTGCGATTATTGTCTTTAAAAATGTCCCCATGTTTTTCGTGCTGATGCGGTGGTGACTCGTTCATGTAAGCAGAGGGTAGCGCTGCCAATAACGCACCTAAAAGCTGTCAAAGACAACAGAAGAACACATTGTCTCACGCGCACACTGTAGACTTGCGTGGCATATAACGGTTACAGTAACTTGGGACGATGTCAAATAAGAGTTCTGTGTGGACCACAAACACCCCCGACTGGGTTAGAGGTGTGGCTGAATCAGTGTTCAGAAAGGTGCGGAAAACAAATAACGCGTTCTACGGAGCCACTAAAGGGACATGGTTAGCCGCTTGCTAGCGGTAGCCTGTTACATTACAGTACATTACATTTCACTTGCCACATAAACAGAGTAAGGAGAGATGACTGATAGGATGATGGCGAATGATTTGCAGATTCTGAGCAGCACTGACAAACACCTAATCTTGTAAAATGTGTGGTAAGTACTACCGAGTGCTGCTACATACGTACGTGTGATCGCGAATCTCGAAAGTGAAAGTTAAAAACAAGCTCGCGTTCATAAGCGATTTCAATGCCCCGCATATTAATAACGCATTTTTTTAAATGGAAATATCTTAGCCTTATAAGCAGTTGATTTATGCTAATCGACGGACTGTTATGTTAATAAGTGCCATCATTCGGTTATGTACTGTATAACATATTATATTAATGTTTCAACTAAAGAATCCTTTTTCTTTTTTAAGCATAAACAAAATTTATTTGCAATTTAATTTTTTTGTTTTTTGAAAAAAAAAAAAAGAACAATTCTAAAAATGCTAAAAAAAAAAAAAAATCTTAAAAAAAAGGGAAAAAAAATATTACCATACAATGTATGTATTATTTTAAGTATTTTGATGTACTTATTATTGATGCAAATAATGTTACAGTGCAGGAAATGTTAATGCAAGACATTACATTTTCTATCTATTTGTTTTTTAAATAAAATAAATTGTAAATTAAGTAATACGTAAAAAATTCTTAAGATCTCATAACAATTATCATTGCAAGATGACATTTAAATGTTTAAAAGAAATTGTTCTATTTTTCCCACTCAATGCATATTTTCCATGTTTCTTGGTAAACATTCACATTTTCTTGCAGTTTATTTGTCCTCTTCCTCACATCTGTTGAACACCATCCTTCCACTATCCCACTTTCATTTTTCTTACATTGTCATTTTCTAGCCAGAGCTTAAGTTGACATATCTATTTATTGATGGTTTTAGTAGTGTAGAGTGCTGTGTAGTTGGAGCTGTTTAGGTATCGACCCGTCCGTTATGTGGCTCTCTGAAGCCTCTGCTCTCTTATCAGCGTAGCGGACGCACGTTAGATAAGCGGCTATCTGATATATCGCACACCGTCCCAACAGCATCCTTTGCGTCGCGCAAAATCAATGCCCGACGCTGCTTTGAAGACATTCGTCATGCGATGACAACTGTTTGAGACTGTTTGCAAAACCGGTTGAGCTGACGGTGGACAGGAAGAAGTTATAAATGACGGCCATTTTGAAAGCTTAAGAAAATTATGCTAACGTTTAGCGATTAAAACGCAATAATCGACCTTTCAGCAAACTTTAAAACATTTTTGATTTTGTAGTTGACATGGCATTACAAAAACATTCTCACAATGTGGCAGTTTTTGAAAAATGTTTTGCGAAAAAAAAAAAGTGTACAAAGTCTGCGAGAATTATGTGCAAATAAGTGCTAATGGAATTCCATTTCCTCTGAACATTAAATCACCTGTCGCATGTTTTTGACCCATGCTAGGAATATTTTATCAGTAGTTGTTCTACTTTTCAGACTGTATATTTACGTTGTACGATATCTGGGAGGTTTTCGTTAATAGGCTTATGTTAAAAATGCAATAATTAACCTTTTGCAAAACTTTTCAACATTCAAAACATTTTTTGATTTGTTGTTGACACACGACAATTTTTGTAAGATGGTTGTGCCAAGAAAATTTGTGCACAGAATTTCTGTTCTGTATGAATTTTGATTGTGTTTGTTGGCTAAGCTAATGACTCTCATACAGTAAGAATGAAAACGCACTGCACTTAATGTAGGGCAAAATTTAGAATTTTTTAATGATTGAGTTTTTTTCAATTTTTAATGATATAAAACGTTTTATTTCGCTCTGTCTCATACTCTTGGATTATTTTATTTTATTTTTTGTGAGCTTGTTTTTGCATTTGCTACTTTGTGGTAGTTTACATGCATTTCTTTCTCAGCTCTTTTGCCGTAACGATAACATTCCCATTGCTTCCGAAATAAAAACATCTTGTGAGAAATTTTGCCCCGATGGCATTCCATTTTCTCAAAATGTTAACGTTGTGAGTATTTAACCAAGGACATTAATATTTCGTCAGAAGTTCTTCTACTTTTCTACCTACTTGTCGTACGATGTCTCCGAGGTCTCTGTTAATGGGCGTCCGTTGCATGTCTCATAGTTGGACATTTCTGTCTTTGATGTTCACCTATTAGATATCTGGCTGAAGCGTCTCTCCTCGTTGCGCACTCATTATAATTCTTGCCAAATTACCTTTGAAGTTATTTTACTTTTCTAAATTTATCCCGTCAACGCAATTTTAACAGCTCATTAGGCTACGAAAGCACAGCATCCTGACTAAAACACTGCATAATTAAAAACGATCAAGCCGCTAGTCTTTGCTTCTCAAAAGCCACTTCTAAAGACAGGGTTTGTAGAGTTATTTGCCTGGTGAGTTTTGACCAGACTGTGTTCATTTTACCAATTTAACCATTTTTAACCAGTTCTAATGTCCTGTTAACGCTCAGTTTTTCTCTCTACAAGTCAATTTACAAATGTATTTCCTTAAAATTTGGTCAACATGAGGCTAATTGACATTCAACACCTAAAAACCTAAATATTGCCAAGGATTATCAGAAAATCTGGTTATTTATGCTGCATGAAACTTTTAGAAGCTATTCATGCTAATCTACTGTTAGCTCGGGTGAGTGACCCAGTGCATTGTGGGCCACGGGCGGTAGTGCTGGTCTTTGCGAGCTGGTTTTATTCACTCACTTTGAAGCAGGTCGACGCCTGAGGCCAGAGATCATCTTTTTGTTCCAGCGCTCTCTGATGAAACCCTGACCTCTTACTTCACAGTGGCATTTTAGAGCATTTTCCTACAGAGCCAATGCTATTTTTGCCCTATTCACACGCATTTGACGTTTGTGTGTGTGTGTGTTCCTGAAGAAAATACAAAGCTGGAGCTAGAGGTGCGCAGTATGCCCAAAATCTATATCACAGTATGAATATTTTATATCACAGCAATGGTGTTTTTCATAAAATGTTTATTTTTGCTGGAAATTCTGTGGGAAAACATTCTTCTTCTTCTTAGGTTATTTGTTTAGTAGTCTAGGCAAATAAATACTTTAATTATAATACTTAAATATTTTAATAATAACAGTCTTTCCAAAATGAAATAATAATAATAATTAATTATTGTCTATTAAAATGATTCAAAAATTGATTATTAGAAATCATAATAATAATTATTATTATTAATAATTAATTAATTATTATTTAATACTCCAGTTAAAGGACATTTTCATTATATAAAGTTAATATTTTATTATTAATATTATTATTATAAATGATTACATGGATTAGTAAATAGATTCAAAAACAGTTTATGAGAAATAAATAAATATTTATAATATTATTGTTATTATTATTATTTAATACTCAAGGCAAATATTGAAGTATTTTACAAATAGATTATAAAAATTAAGATTAATAAAAAAAATAATAATAAAAACAAAATCTCTACCAAAATTGATGTATTTCTGTGGTACCCAGCTCTAGCTGAAGACACATGAAGAGCTCAGGAGCTCTTATTGCTGTTCTCATTCACAAAGGTCAAACCAGGAGCATTTGAGGTCACGCATAATGGTTTGTCTGACTTATTCATGAAAGGAAACATTGATTGTTTTTTTTCCTTTCAACCACTGTTGACGTTTTGTGTCTTGGACTGGATCTGAACACACAGTAGGCGTGGGCGATATGACCAAAATCTTATTTCACGGTATGAGAAATTTTATTTCACGATAACGATATGTACCTCGATATAGCTATTTTTATTTTATTTTGTTATTAAAATTAAGAAAAAAAAAGCAAATTACAAGCACAACAGAACAAATAAATATTAAATAAACTTTTAATTTATTCAGCTACAGTAGGTTTATTTAACGCGTAGTAATAAATATTACAGAAATTTAATAAAGTGTATAAATAAAACACTGCATAGTCTTCACTGTATCAATCAAACATGATTAACATTAATAATGACAGACAGCAGCAGGTAAATAAGGCTGCTGTCCCTTTAAGACCGACTGCACGGATCCATTATACTGATACACATCCGGTTTTCACCCAACTGTTTTACATTTATTTAACATATAACCTGTGTTTACTTGAATACTCCACACGACGGACATTATGACATAACTGTGTTTGTATTTGACCGTTCAAGCATGATAAAACACGAAAGAGATCTGTTTTCGCGGTCGCATGCTGTCGAGAGAGGGGCTTTCAGAGCGCGCGCTTCGGCTGTGTGTCAGTCAGCACTAGCACCGCACATACCGCGGAAATACACGATATAGCGAAATCTCTAACGATATATATACCGTCATATCGCCCAGCCCTAACACACAGATGAATGAACTAGATTAAATGCAGTTGCTGATTCAATTGTGGTCAAACGTATGTCAGAGCATCTACAGTTAAAAAAAGACCACGTGACCTTGATTCTTCAACATGCCCATGATGCATTGTGTCTGATTCAATGCTTTTGTCTGCAGTACCGCCGCATATACGCAGAGTACGCAGTTTGCGTAGGGCACCAACTCTCAGGGGAGTTGTGAATGCAAAGCAGCGTTAACATATGCATGAGTTGATTGTGCGCAACCATCAAGATTGGACACACAAAGATTTGTGAATGAATGAATGAATTGCTGACCCAAACACACTCATGAAAAACCATTTAACTCGTGTTTAATGGACAAAACAGACCGATAACTATCTCTTGTTGTCGCTTTTTGGAGCTGGAGAGCTTCCATATTCATTCAGTTTCACTGTATATTTCGTTGTTTAAAAAAGAGCAGCTTGAACATAATACTAAACATGTCCTTTTGTGCCCCAGAAAGAAAGATTAATTTGAATCAACCTGATGATGAGTAAATGGCATGCTTAATTTTTTTTTGTTAAATTTGTGTATATAAAATATAACAATTTACAAAGGAATTTAATATAAATAAATTTAATATATACATTTAATTATTAAATTATATATAAAATGGTATTTCATTACATAGTGCTGCTTTAAAATATTAGCCTACTTCTCAACTATTTATATACAATGGTAAAGGAAATTCTATGTCTAATTCTAGTTGGGAAGTAGGTTAATCATTTAAAAAAATTTGTGTGTGCACGCATATATATATATATATATA